CTATATAAGGTAATATATATTTTCCAATTTTCTAGAAGTTTCTTGACATCATCGTTCTAGAAAATTCAATAATTTGCTTGATTCAAAAAAAAAAAAAGAAGCAACCAGTATTTCTTGACACAATTTAATAATTTTTTTTTCCTTTCTATAATATTTTATTTGTTCATGTCTTTCTACAATAGAAAAAGCATATTGGAGTTATTTTGTTTGTGTCGTGTGTATTAATCTAGTTGACTTTTTTGTTTATACAGTATAAAGAAAATCAAAAGAGAATTGTTTTGTTCGTTGGATGTTTTTTGTGTCGTGTGTGTTTTTGATATAAATTTTAAGAATCTTAGGGATATCCATGGTATTTTGAAAATCTTGTTGTATGAGTAAGTGTAGAGATTACATCTCCCAATAACATTGAATTTTAAAAGAATTAGAGAATCAATGAAACATAAATTTTTTGAATAACAATGGATTTTAAAAAAAATGTAAAAATTTTCAAATGAATAACAATGAATTTTATTTAGATTTTAAACACTAACCAATAACAGTGGAATCCAAAAATTTTAAGAATCTACTTAAATCCAATTATGAATAATCCCCCTAAATGATTCTTCAAGTGTATACAACTTATCACTATAAACAAACAAAAATAATTCTAATATATAACTTATTCAGCTCCTGCATTTACGTAAGTCCACAAAAATAATGGGATAGTTTTCTATTAGGCAACAAGAATATATTGAAAATATATTTACTTTTAAATAGAAGAAGGTAGGTACAGGAAAAAAAAGACTTTTTTAAGAATTTTTTAAAATGAATTACCCAATGAAATATTGTTCTTTTTGTGAATTTTTAATAATTTATATGAAAATGGATTTTAAAAGAATAGAAAAAGATAATACTAATTAAGCAATCAAATTTTTTTATTAATAAAATATATATTAATCTAAAAAGACATTTAAATCATTATGGGAAAGAAGAGAGAAAAGAAATTATTTAAAATTATTAATTTCTTCAAGTAAAAGCCATCCAACGGAGGCTTTAGAAAAACATGACCAAAAAAAACAAATGCTTCAAAGTCTTTAGAAAAAAAAAAATACTAAATCATGTTTGGTGAAAAAGAGTCTTTAAAGACTTTTATTATTTCTAAAGATTTAAAAGCATCACGCCAAGCACAGCATTGATCTTTGAAGTCTTTGAAATTTTTTGGTCTTTTGGTCTTTCAAGTCTTTGAAACTGTCTGGTCTTTTGGTCTTTGAAGTCTTTGAAACTGTCTGGTCTTTTGGTGTTTGAAGATGTTCCGGAAAGTTGATGCCGATGACAACTCCTCGGGAGGTCAAAGATCTACAGTCTCCTAGATCCTGTGGCAAAGCAATACTACCCTGATTTTGCAGGGTAAGGGATGTATTTCCACCACGTTGAGTCGCAATCTCAAAGGTGATGCAAAGCCATTATTGACTTTTGCATGGGAGGATAAATATGTACACCAGTTTTGTTACTAATTAACTCACACTTATACATAATAGTAAATTTTTGTTTCACTAAATTCTCCATCACATTAATCGTATAAATGATATAAAAAAATGCTTTAGTGGTGGAATAGCTTCATCAGAGATTCCACTCATATCTTTGCATCACCTTTCACGTTTGAGCCAACAAGCCAATGGCATTAGATTCTCCAAATTTT